TCTCAGCCCTTCTTTTGACCTGTGCAATATACACATTCTCAACGGAAGGCAGTTGCAATTGTTTTTTTCTGCAGTCCTAACTATCTGTTGAAGTCTATATCTGTCCTGTTTGGTTTCTGCACTAAACCAGACCTGTATAGAAGAACCAATGGTAAGTTCAATAATTCCTCTGTAGAACTGTATCAACAGCTCCTGAGGCTGTCTGAGTTGATGCAGGAAGAACATTATTTATTGTGCCTTTTTAATGATGGTTCTAATGTTACATTTTCATTTCAAATCCTGGGAGATTATAGAACCCCAAAACCTGAAGGACACTACTGTTGATACTGTGTAGTCTAATATAGTAAGGGGTTGTAGAATAGGAAAGCTCCTCCTAAAACCCAGTCATCTTTACAGTTGTAAACATGTTCAGCTCTGTGGTGGGATTCAATTTGGGGCAGCCCTTGAAGAGCATTCGGAGACTTCAGCTCGTCCAGAATGCAGCNTCCCCCCTCCCCCCTAAGACCCCACCTCCCTTCCCTCCCCCCGACGGTTCAAACTTTCAACGTGGCACTGAAAAAAGTGGATTTAAGACCGTTTTTCACAGTTACGACCATTGCAGCTTCCCCATAATCAGGTGATCAAAATTCAGTTGCTTGGCAACTGGTTCATATTTAGGACCGTTGCTGTGTCCCAAGGTTCAGTGATCCCTTTTTGTGACCTTCTGACAAACAAAGTCAATGGGGAAGCCAGGTTCACTTAACAACCCGGATTACTAACTTATCAATTGCGGTGATTCACTTAACGATGGTAAGAAAGGTGGTAAAATGGGGCAAAACTCACTTTAGCAAATGTCTCACTTAACAACAGAAATTGTGGGCTCCATTATGGTCATGAGACGAAGACTACCTGTAGAAATATTCATACTTCTAAACTGTATATAGTCCTATTTTTGTAGCTGGGTATTTGGATCCATATCCTTGGCAATAAGTGAAGCCTTCATAGTATTTATAGATGTGAATGCATTCTTTTTACGTGTGTGAATGAACTATTTCACCTATATTTTTCCCAAAGTGTTCACTTTGGCTTCTCTACCCCAATTTTATTTTCACAATGATGTGTAATGTAACCTATATTAACATGTGTATGCCTATGGAGAGAATAGATATGTGTGCGTATCATATATAATATTCCCCAGTATTTCAATTTCATGATTCTTTCAGGGGGGAAATTCTACAATTTGTCCTTCAAATATTTGTTTGGTGTTTTTTTTTTTTTGTTGATGTCAATTTATGGCATGACAACTAACTTCAAAGCATTATGAATTCATTGTACTACTGTTTATGAGCATTATAAGATCAATTATAACTACGAAGAGACTTAGCAAATCCCATGGGGGTGGAGGAAATAGTCTTGCCCATAAAACCTGTGCACCAGAGTTGGCATACAGCTGGAAAGAACCTAGTTCCTGAATTTAAGAATGCCCAATACTTTTGCAAATAGATTGCAAATACTTTCACACACATACACCCAACAATATAAACCATAAGTACTTCAGGCAAAATAAAAAGCATGTATTAAATAGGGGTCAATACTTTATATAATGTACAGAAACAAATTTGAGATATGTGATTTGATTTGATTTGATTATATTTATATGCCGCCCTTTTCCCCCAAAGGGGACTCAGGGCGGCTCACAATTCAAATCAGGGAAGGGGGTACAGACAAAAAATAAAAACGAAACATAACAATGCATAATTTAAAAACACACAACAGTCATACCATTCGAGACAGGGGCAACAGCTCTTTAGCCCCAGGCCTGTCGGAACAGCCAGGTTTTAAGGGCTTTGCGGAAGGCCTGGAGGGTGGTGAGGGTTCAAATCTCCACGGGGAGTTCATTCCAGAGGGTCGGAGCAGCCACAGAGAAGGCTCTCCTCCAAGTAGTCGCCAGTCGACACTGGCCGGTGGATGGAATTCGGAGGAGGCCTAATCTGTGGGATCTAATCGGTCTAGTGGAGGTGATTGGCAGCAGGCGGTCTCTCAAGTACCCAGGTCCAATACCATGAAGGGCTTTATAAGTGACGACTAGCGCCTTGAAGCGTATCCAGAGACCAATAGGCAGCCAGTGCAGCTCGCAGAGGATAGGTGTTACGTGGGTGAACCGAGGTGCATCCACGATCGCTCGCGCGGCTGCATTCTGGACAAGCTGAAGTTTCCGAATGCTCTTCCAAGGGCTGCCCCATGTAGAGCACGTTGCAGTAGTCCAGTCTAGAGGTCACAAGGGCGCGAGTGACTGTTGTGAGGGCCTCCCGGTTCAGGTGATGCATCAGAAAGTAACAAAACAAACAATAAATGACACAAAGTCTTTATTTTGTTAGATTTGTGAAAAGACCCTCTTAAACTATGTTGCATCTCCTCATTTCCCACTGGAGTTTGTTTCTGTAACACTTTCTACTTTAATCAAGGACTTCAGAATCTAGCCTTATCCTTTCCTCAAAGGAAATAGCTTTAATTTATAAAAAAAAACTTGAGAGCAGATATGAATACTTTCTAAAATGCTAATATCTTCATTAAAATATTACTAAGAAAGACTAAAATTCTATTTGGTAGTTTCTACTTACAGTGATCCAAATCAATTTGGAATGACATTAAATTGGGATGTTGATATTCCAGTTAAAACAGAATAACAAGAGTTGGAAGGGATTTTGGAGGTCTTCTAGTCCAACCCCCTGCTCAAGCAAGAGATTACTTAGATGAGGGAATAGAAGGGGAACTCATCAAATTTGCAGATGACCCTAAGATGGCAGGAATAGCTAATTCCCCAAAAGACAAACTCCGGATCCAAAAGGATCTTGACAGACTTGAACAATGGGCCCTATCCAACAAAATGAAATTTAATGTGGAGAAAAGCAAGGTTTTATACCTAGGCAGAAAAAACCAAAGATACAAGTATAGATTAGGTGAAACCTGCTCAAAAACAGTAATTGTCTGACAGACCTTGGAGTCCTAGTGGATGATCACTTAAACATGAGCCAGCAGTGTGCGGCAGCAGCCAAAAAAGCTAATACAATCCTTGGTTGTATAAATAGAGGCATAGAATCAAAATCACATGTATTAGTAAAGGTTCCTCTTGCACATACTGTATGTGTTAGTCGTTCCCAACCCTGGGGACGGTGCTCATCTCCGTTTCAAAGCCGAAGAGCCAGCGCCGTCCGAAGATGTCTCTGTGATCATGTGGCCAGCAGGACTAAACGCAGAAGGCGCACAGAACACTGTTACTTTTCCACCAAAGGTGGTCCCTATTTTTCTACTTGCATTTTTACATGTTTTCGAATTGCTAGGTTGGCAGAAGCTAGGACAAGTAATGGGAACTCACTCTGTTACACAGCGCTAGGGATTCGAACTGCTGACCTTTCTGATCAACAAGCTCAGTGTCTTAGCCACTGAGTCCCATATATGAAATATTAGTACCGCTTTATAAATCCTTAGTAAGACCACACCTGGAATACTGCATCCAGTTTTGGTCACTACATTACAAAAATATGCTGAGACTTTGGAAAAGGTGCAAAGAAGAGCAACTAAGATGATTAAAGGCTTGGAGACAGATATACCATATTTTTCGGAGTATAAGACACACTTTTTTCCCTCAAAAAAGAGGCTGAAAATCTGGATACGTCTTATACACTGAATACAGCATTTTTTGGCTCCCCAAACCCCGCCCCCTTCACCAAAATGGCTGTGCATGGTGTTTAGGAGGCTTTCAGAGTGCTCCTAGGGGCTGGGGAGGGCAGAAATAAGCAAAAAATGGTCTGTTTTTTGCTCAATTTTGTCTCCCCCCTATCCCCAGGAGCACTCTATAAGCTTCCTTCAGGCTATTCATGCCCTTTTTTGACAAAAAACAGACCTGTTTTCGTGAAAAATGGGCTATTTTTGGCTCGTTTCCGCCCCCCCAAACACTCTGCAAGCCTCCTAAAGGCTATTCATGCCCTTTTGGGGCAAAAAGAAACGGGCCGTTTTTTGGAGGTCTCCAGAGTGCAAAAACTTTTTTTTTAATTTGCCTCTTCAAAACCTTTGTGCACCTTATACTCCAGTACGTCTTATACTCCGAAAAATACGGCATATGAAGAATAGTTAGTTGGCTAGTCTAGAGAAAAGAAGGACTGGGGTGACATGATAGCAGTATTCTAGTATTGGAGGCCTGCCACAAAGAAGAGGGGGTCAACTTTCTTTCCAAAGCACCAGAAGGCAAGACATAACAATGGATGGAAACTAATCAAGGAGAGAAGCAAGCTGGAATTAAGGAGAAACTTCCTAACAGTAAGAAACAATTTGCCTTCAGAACTTGTAGGGGCTTCATTACTGAAGATTTTTAAGAAGAGATTGGACAGCCACCTATCTGAAATGGTATAAAGTCTCCTGCTTGAGCAGGGGGTTGGATCAGAAAACTTCCAAGGTCCCTTCCAGCTCTATTCTGATTGTTTAATTGATATAATATTATACAATATTATATGGCATAATAATACGGAATGTTATTAATGGTTATTGTTATATTATTATATAAGGAATAAGTTATTCTATATAGCAACAGTTCTCAAACTATTTGGTCTCATTCTTAAAAATTGGGTACAGAATTTTTTTTTGGTTTATGTGGGTTAAATCTATCAATATTTTTTTGTATTAGAAATTAAAACTGAGAAATTTTAAAATATTGATTTGATTTTGCAGACATTTTCAGAACTGCCATACCTCACTTCCCATTTTGATGTTGATGTAAAATTAGCTATTGTGTCAAATATTTTTTACTTTTAGATATGCTACATGAACAAGTTTAAAAGCAGAGCACCTCTGGAAATTGTTAATAATTGTTGCAGGCTTGTTATTTGTATATATATATTCCATAAAACATTTGTACCTAAAAATAGTGTATATGCCAGTTTTGATTTAAGTTAAATTAATTGCTGGAACAATTCACAATTAGAGTCCAGTTTCGGTGTTGGTATTGCTTTCATTTTATTTAAAAAATGTATTTATTTCAGATTACAATTCCTGGTAATGTTAGATTTAGATCTATTTGTTGGAGCAAAGACCAAGGTTATATAGCCTGTGGAGGTGAAGATGGTCTACTGAAAGTTTTAAAGTTAGAAACAAAAGCAGGTAAATGACATTTGTAACATTATAAATTTGTTGACAACCTGGGGCACACAGTGATTTTCTTTTCTTTTTTGCTGTGTTGTAACTTGTCAATCTTGTTCTCTCCAAGCATTGCTCACATTATTTGTTCTAGGACAATCCCACAACCTCTGTTATAGTCTAATCTTCCAATATTTTGGAACATTAGTATAACTAATCTGAACAATATGAAATGTAGTTGAGACACATTTTGTTGAGACAGATTTTATTAAAATTCCCTGTATATTAAATAACAAGAGTTAGGTAACTTGCAGTTTTCCTATTCATATAAAGTACAGGTAATCCTCACTTCAGGTCTTTTCTGTAACTATTGAACATTATGAATATGCTGAAAAAATTGAATTGTGACAGGTCATTAGCACCCCTGCAGTCACATGATAAAAAATTTGAGCCAAATCGCATTTGTGATCACACCCACCCATCACTCCTGCCACCTCCCCCAGCAGATGATCATTTTCATCTGCCTCACTCTGCTGGGCTCCCCATCCTGGCCATGAATGGGGGGGGGGGGACACCATAACTCTGGGACGAATTGCACCCTCAGACAGTCTCATTCACCCAGCAACAGACACCCCTAAACCTACTACGCCTAACCAACCACCTACTCACCCTCACACTCCATCCTCCACCCAGCAGTAGCCATTTCCTGCCTTCTTGCAAATCACGTGGGATTTGCAACTTCCTGTTGGCTTCCCCACTGATTTTGGACATTGGAAGACCAAAACTAAGACCACGTCACTTAGTGGCAGAAATTCCAGGCCCTATTTCCATTGTTAATGGAGGATGACTTGTAGGCAAAATTGCCTCAATGATGAGAGTCCAGAATATGAAGTATTCAATATCAAAAGTATGAATAAAGGATATATCTTTTCTAAGTTACAGAAAAGGTCTTTTGAGGACTTTTCATGCAAAGCCTAATAAAATCTTAATATAATTGATAACAAGCAATATGTTATTTTATAGGTGTTAATTGTTATGGGCATTTTTTTAATCCTTTGGTGCTAGGCAGGATTTCAGGTATAATTATCTAAATATTTTAGTAATATGGAATGAACTTATACTTTATAATTCCATTCAATGATTTATATTGTACTGATTCTGATTCTTGATATTCACCTTTAGCTCAAGTTTAGTAGTCATTTACAATTAACTAAATAAATGATATATTATATATCTATCTATCTATATCTATCTATCTATATCTATATCTATCTATCTATCTATCTATCTATCTATCTATATATATATATATATATATATATATAGTTAGATAAGGGTCAACGGAATTCAAGAGAGGCTGGATTTAGTCCTCTTGTGGCTATATAGGGATTCTAAGCTGATCCCTCTTTTTAACTCTGCTCTCAAGTTCTAACACTCCTTCTCCTATGCTTAGATAATCAAAATACTGTTTAAAAAAAATACAAAGAGAAGTTGGATTTGGGATTTCAACTTCTTTTTAATGAGCAAAAGAGGACATTCAGTTCCTCTCCCTCATCAGGTTCTACAGGACATACAAAGGTTAAATATTATGATTAATTGAAAGGGGGCACCATCTAGGGAAAAAGTAAGCTAGTAAAAATTATAAATGCTAGTTTATTTAGGATTCATGTCTTATGTGAGGTTTTGTTTTGCTTTTAGATGAAGCCAAATTAAAAGGACTTGCTGCACCTAGCAATCTCTCAATGAATCAGACTCTTGAGGGCCACACAGGTACGAATTATACTGTGCAGTAAAATAAAATTGCTTTTTTACTAATTTGTTAGTAATAGTTTCATTTGTTAGTGATAGTTTCAGTGATGATCTTTCAATTTCTAACAGATAAATTCCCGTAATTTCTTGGGATATAAATTAGCAAGCTTAAAAATAAAATAATATTATGGAAATATCTATTGTTGAATATAAAAGAAGACAAATTGCTTTCAGGGATATTGGATGGATATGGATATGGATATAAAGTAGAAATATGCCTGTACCTCAGCTCTCATTGTATACTGAAAATTTTCTCCTTGCAACTTCAAATTAGCCTATGCATCGTTCAGAATATATTCACACAGAATGCAAAAATAATCAGAACAAAATGCCGGTTATGCTAGCAGTAAGAAATTGATTATTTGCACATTTGATACAATTACCTTCAAGTTCCTCTAAAAGGACTGGAACAATACAAGGAAATCTTTGCCTTTCCAAAGCCCCACTGATGCTAGCTGAGATACTGATTGTAGAAATAACCTTCTGTAAGCCCTGGTGTTAGAAGGTTTGTCACTGGGGGAAGCCACTGACAGCACAACTCTGCAGATGAAAAGAAGTATCAGAGGTTACCCTGTTGACGACAGTAAGCCCAAGTTTTTGAAAGGGAGCATCTCAAGAGATGGAAAAAAGTAGCTGTTTCAAAAGTCATGATGCTTTCCTTAAACGACAAGGATATATAGATCCGTGATCCGTGCCAGAAGTAGCACATAGTGCCCTCTCTTTGGGCACGTGACCCATTGCCCCAATTCAGCTTCACTGTGCATGCACACATGCTTCCCATTGGCCAGCTGGTCTTCGGGTCTCTGCTGCGCATGCGTGGGGGGGGGAGGGCACGTGCAAATCCGTGGGGGGATGGGGTACATTCGGGGATGCGTACATGCATATTCAGGAGTGGGGCACATGCATGGGGGCCACACGGACATTGCATCTTGGTTTGGGTGTGCACATGCTTTGGGCATTCGGTCCGGAAAAGGTTAGCCATCACTAAACTAGGGCTTCAGTGACCAAGCACAGGGCGTTGTGAACCAGGAAAGTCTGAGACTGATGCACAAACCAAAGCTGTGCTAAGAAAGGCTCTCCTAGCCACAACTGTTCATCAAGCAGGAATCGTGAGTCCAGGACAGTCCCTATGTTGTAAGCTGAGTTTGGATCAGTCTTTATATATGATGCTTATTTTTAATAGAAAGCAGATTACTTTTTTCCCCAAATAATCTTGCTGTTACTAGTGTAATTCAACAGTATTGTTATACAATTTTATAGGTGCTGTGCAAGTAGTGACTTGGAATGAACAATATCAAAAGCTAACTAGTAGTGACGAGCATGGACTTATTATAGTTTGGATGCTGTATAAAGGTAGGTGACTTACTGGAGAATGGCTATTATATATTTGTGGCATTTTATTTCCTAGTTGGCTCCAAGCTTTCTACACTATACCTTTGCCTCTTTAGTTGTAAGCTCAAAGATTCTAAAAAGAATTATTTATTCCCCCCCAAAATAATATTGCAATTTAGTCTAAGAGATTTATTTTTAAATTAATATCACGTTGGCATTCTCACCAACTAAATATATTGCTTTGGCCCCATGTGTTAATACTAGAATATTTGGGAAGCTTCTTCAGTTTCCCAGCCTCTTTATATAAGGAGCAGAATGAAAAACCACAAGCACCCAGACGCGATCTAGAGCTGCGTGAGCTTTTTAAGAACATCTGAAACGCATAAACAAAAATACGTTATTGCATACACATCAAAACTTCCTTTTGCTAAGGAAGGAGAATTGAAGAGCAGTTTTTAAGAGTTTCTTCTTCGGCACCTCCAGTTCCATTTCTCAGGGTTGGAATGCTCTTCAGAGCAACTTCATGGCAGTGACACAATAACCATGAATCAATGTCCAGCTCAATAGAAGTCACTGAGTTTGCAAATAATTCCTTTTGTATTATTCTCAATAAGAAATGTTCAGATGAAAAATAAGAGTGTGGTAGATATGGATGATTTCTTTTCCCCTTTGGCTTTAGGTGCTTGGTATGAGGAGATGATCAACAATAGAAATAAATCAGTGGTTAGAAGCATGAGATGGAATGCTGATGGGCAGAAAATTTGCATCATATATGAAGATGGTGCTGTAATTGTTGGTTCTGTGGATGGTAAAGTACTACTTATGTTAATAGAATGTGCAGTTTTTTTAAAGGTTTAATAACTCTTATAGTGTTAGCCCCCTTCAGTAATCATTCCCTTGCACAATTGCCCTGTTAACTCCATCTCTAGGTTCCCATATCTTGAATGGAAAGAAAGAACTGAGAGTATGTTTCCGCATATTCAGCTGAATGCATTTAAGATCTTCCCAATAGCTGTAATTTTCAGATTATGTAGGATTTGAAACTTATTTCAACAACTGTGCAGTTTTCTATCCGGTCTTTCTGTTCCATGTACAAAGCTGAGGGAGGGAGCCCCCAACGCCCAAAGTGTAGGGGTCATAAATGTTCATTTGTCCTTGAGCAGAAGAGGTTAAACCATGTATTCCCACGTGTCCCTTCAAATAGTTCCATTCCAAGATACGTTACCATCACTAGAATGATAGCAATAGCAATAGCAGTAGACTTATATACCACTTCATAGGCCTTTCAGGCCTCTCTAAGCGGTTTACAGAGAGTCAGCATATTGCCCCCA